GAGGAGAAGAGACGTCATCTCTTCTCCCGAATTTTTTCTGAGGGAGGGGGGACGTCTGTACACAGGCTAGAGAGAGTATCGCCTCTCGCGTGTCTCTATCGCGTTTCGCGCTCGCGCCCTTCAAAACGTGGCTACAAAGCTCTTTGCTGGAGCGGGTGCCGGAGCGGGTACTAAGGAACATGGCCGCCATTGCAAGTAATGGCTGTAAATACTCGCGGTCTCATTGCTGTTTTTAGTCTTTTTGAAGAATGGGGAAAAGGTATCATTGTGAGTACTGTAACCGTTCCTTTGCGGACACTCCGCAAACAAGGAAGAATCACATCAATGGCGTGCAGCACAAGAGAAATCGAAAGCTGCACTATGATTCATTCAAAGGTGAGAATTATTCATTTCTCAGTCAAACCTTGCGCTGTAAACACGGATAGAGTTGCTTAGCTTTGCACCCACCAGTGTTTTCCATATTCTCTTAAGTTAAAACAAACTCTTTCATAATTGAACAGTGACAAGTGGTAAATAAAGGGACTCTTATTTTTCCAGTCCCAGACAATTCGATCACATTGGGTTTGAGCTAAGCTTAATGCGATAAAGTAAGATGTAAGTAAGATTGAAGTTAAGACCGTAAATCAAACAAACAAAAGAAAATACAGTCGAGGCGACCACCCAAAATGCCAAAATTTAGTAGCTTCCCACACAGAGGTGACAAAGACGTTCTTTTGGCTCGTCACGCAATCCTTCCCCCACGAACGTCTGTTGAAACGAGCGGTTAAAAACGTAGACCAATCACAGCAGACTTCCTGATCTGAGAAGGGCACTTTGGACCTTGAGAAATTTCGTGGCTTCTTTGCACGAGACTCCACAAAAGATCAGAAAGGTCTCATGAAAGGTGACATCATCAGAGACCAAGGGGCAGTCAGTTGGGTCGGGTAAAATGGCAGTGAAAGTTTTCAACAATGAGCAGGCAAGCCCCTGGGTTGCTTCTCTTAACGAAGCAATTCCACGACTCATTCGGATGCTTGTCTGTGTTTGGGCACAAAAAATAATTTTGTGCCCAATAAGAGGCCAGCATCTATTGTGCTACTTTTGTGATCTTCTTACACGAAAAAAAGTTTACCTGCAAACTCGACCAAGAAGATCATCCTGCTGTGGCCTCACCAAAAGAACACCTTTATCAGAGCAAATAGCATCTGATTCAGCATAACTTTATAGAGAGAAATATACAAAAAGCCAACCCTTATCTCCTACATTTTTGTCCAGAACAAAACTCTTTGGTCATGTATCGGGCACTTCCGAGGTTGCACATCGTGTTTGGCTTGTCAACGCTTTGACTTTTTTAGCATCAATTGGTTTTCCGATAATCTGCACATGAGCTCCATCTAATATTTGTGAACAGTGGAAAAGGAATTTACCCACTCATTTCAGCAGATGTTCATGGGGTAGGAACGTGTGACAAACCCCTAAGAACATCTGTTGGGAGGCTGTAGTGGTCGCTTACAAGAATCAACCCACAGGTGGTCTCTAATGAGAAGAGGTCTACTGTTTGAAAGCGAATTTTACTGATTTTTGTTTATAACAGGAAGTTTTTCGTATACTCTGAATGGTGTACAGTAGTACATACAGCAAACATAGAGATTACTTCATGTGAAACCATAACTAAAAGTGAGCCCTTTGTCCAAAAAGCCATGTGGTTGCTTGCAAGAGGTGGTCATTTATGAGATGTTCCAACAAAAAGGATTTGACTGGGAAATAAATTTTTAGTGTTTTGGATAGGTGGTTGCTTACAAGAGGTGGTTGCACATAGTGTTTGTTCTGTACAACAAACCAAAAATCAATATTATATTTTAGAGGGCCACAAGTTTATTGTAATATTGTAACTGTCATTGTTACCCTCTCTAAGGAAAGTCTCCACTCCTCCCTTATTATGCTTTACACAGTGTTTTGGCTGTTTCAAAAATAGATCCTGCAGTTCTGCTAGCAGAAGAAAGCAGTAAGCCACCTTGTCGAAAATTCTTTACTACTGGTGAGTTTGTTTGATTATGAAACATTTATTATATCTGCATTTACTATATTTTATGCATTACTTAGTTTGGGCAATTCCATTTTGTATCCGGCAGAAATGTTGAGTCAATCAAAGTTACCAAAGTGTGTTTTTTCATTGAGGAGGCGTGTGTGGTCGAGCGGTTAACACCTCAAACTCCAGATCTAGAGGTGTGGTGTTCAAGCCTCGCCCATCACATTGTTTCCTTAGACAAGGAACTCTACTCCTTGTTGTCTCTCTTCATCCAAAGTGTATAAATGGGTCCTGCCACCTACTGCTAGGGGGTAACCCTGTGATGCACTACAGCTGTAGCATCCCATCTAGGGAGAAGCAATACTCCTAGGCATGCTTCATGCTAAGGAAACCAGGATAAGCTCCAACCGTTTGGGCCTTTGGCTTATTATTTTGTGCCTTTATCTTTACCCTTTTATTTCATATTTGAGGGTTAAGGAAAATTTTGGCATAATGATCCTTGCAGATGTACCAAAAAATGCTATAAATAGACAGTCCCCTATTTTTCTGTAAGATCGTTGCGATTGAGTGCTTTCAGTGATACTAGCAGCAATCTTAATGTTCCAGTTCTGGCCTGGGTACCCTGGCCTCCCCTTGGTACATTTAAAACCAAGATTGCTGCCCATAACACAATGTGCTGGATCTTCACAGCCTTACGGAAAGATAGTGAATGGAGTTTGAAAAATCTAAGCTATAGTAACTGAGTAATAAATTGTTGATGCTACATCACTATATAACACATATCATAGTATTTTTTAGATAAAATTATGTGAGCATTTGACTGACCTTTTGTTGTTTTAGGATCTTGTGGATTTGGTGATAGTTGTTGGTATTCTCATACAAATCCGCAAATGCTATTAGCAGCTCAAGGAGCAAGTAAGTATCACCACAACTACTTCAACTACTAAACAGTTTTTTACTTGGTTATTTAAGGTTATGTAGCATTCCTTTAGTGTTTAGTGTTACTTTCTGTATAGTATAGCAATGATGTAGCAATGATGAATGGCATAGTCTGTTTATGTGTCTTCATGTTACTATATGTTATGTATTTTTTATTTTGATTGTTAAAAACAAAATAATAATTATTATAATAACTATACCTAGCAACAGATTAAAATAATGTTAAGTAACTGAGAAAACATCAATAGCTTAATATTATTGTGAAGAACTGAATTTTTTATCATTCTTCATGCATTATTTTTTCCTTTCATTTCCTATTTCCATCAACCGATCTGTTGCTCAGGTTAAAAAGTGAATGGGCTGATCATTTTCTACAGTTTCTGCTGTTTACTTCAATTTCCTTGTGTTTTTACAGGTAGCCAAACATCAAATGTATCACAAGCAAATCAACCTGAGCCAAAGCTGGAGGATTGGCTCAAGAAGTGGGAGAAAAAACAGAAAAAGAATGAATCAAAAGACATGTCAGGAACATCAGCTCATCAATCTGTTTACACCCTCCCACCTGGACTTCCTCCCCCACAAATGCTCCCACCTTCCCTATTACCACCACCACCAGGGGGGTACCCTGATCTACCAAGAATTGACTGGGGCTAAAGACAGGGGAAGGGCTGTCAGTCCATGATAGGCTTCCCAGGCTATACTGCATCTGCTCCTTCACACCTCTGTTATCCAGGTAACCCAGGCTCTGTGTTAGTTCTGAAGTACAAATCCTGTAAAGGTACAGTGTTTGTGTGGGGTTAAAATACGATCCTTAAATTTGTAGGAAATACCAAATAAAAGTCGATGAAACTTACGTGGCCGTTAGTTGTTGTTGTCCTTAATGCTCACATGAAGTTTCATGTTAATTTGCTAAAATTCACCCTCCATACAACATTTTTCACATGGTGGGAGGCACAACAAGGCATCTCAGCCACCATCACTCCACTTTCCAACATCACATTTTCCACAAAACTCGAACTCCAACGGTACATTAATACACTAGGCTCGTAGAAGTAGGAATGCCCCAGATATTGAAACAAATGAAGCTTTTCAAGCTAGAGAAACAAATGCTACAGAGTTTGAAACTCGACGACTCACAATAGTATTAAGGACAACAACAGCTAACTGCAGAGTATAAAGTTTCATTGACTTTTATTTGGTATTTCCTACAAATTTTAGAATCATATTCTTACCCTTTACTAACGCTGTAATTTTACTGGATTCGTACTGTGGTAGTGTCACGGAGCCTTGGTTGTCTGTGTACTTGTTCACATATTTTGTGCATTCATTCTGTGCAGTACTTGATGTTCATTTCCAAACTTGCATTGTAACAGTGCAGAAAACGAAATGAGATAATTTCATCATAATCTTCATGGTACTGTATGTTCAAGTTTTACTTAAACAAAGGTCGTATAATATACCAGTCACTGACTAGTAATAACCAAAGGTTACGGAGTGCGGACGACAACTATCGAAGGTCAAAACTCTTTTGCTCCAACGCTGTGCTTGAGTATGTTTCATGTGACAGATGGTCAAACACGCGTGATCAGATTGCGAGTGATAGAAGTTCCAAATGCGCGCGATCAAATTGCGTTATGTACATTCCATTCATTCTTAGTGGAAGTCCAAACGAATGCTGGCTACATACATGTTAGGCATGCGTAATAACAACCTGGAGATTACGATTGTGGGCTCCTTTTGTCGCCCGCAATTAATAAAATGTTAAATGTGCTTGATCAGGGTCGAAAGAGGAGTGATTTAGTCTTGCATACTTTCATACATACATTCGTACGTACATTTATTTCACGTCCCTATGGGGTTTTTCAGTGAAATATTTAACAAAAAAGAATGACATGAAATAAAACAAAACACAAGAAAATAAGTTCTACATGTCTCGATATGTGGGCAACTAATTTCTGATGCAGCCAGTTATTTTGGTGTGTTCTCCAGTGAAGACTTGATAAAAGCTAGACAGGATTAATGAAAAAGAATCATACAATACTGTCAATTAACTCAAAAATACTTTATAAGCATTAAAAAATGGAGCTACAGTTTGCCTTATGATTTTGTGACTCCCTCTCTTATAAAATGAGATGTTAATTCTGTGGTACTATGGTAATTATTGCAAATGCCAAGTGACATATTTATGTCATGCAACAGACCAAAGAACTAAGGCAGTGAGTATACTCACACCACAGCAAGTGAACAAAATACCAAAACAAGATTTTACCTTACGCTAATACATTTAACCAGTGGAATCTATCAATTAGTAAGGGAGGTGGGGGTGCTTTGATAATCCAACATTTCATGTTTAGTTTCATACACACCTGCTTTGCAGGCGGATTACTTCACGCATTCAGGGATCTTAAAAGCCTACAATAAAAATCAACTATGAAAAGTCTAGAATCAAAGCAGTCATCTACAGACCACTGTTTAAATATGGATCACCACATGGTGTCAGCATTTTTTGCAACCCTTCTTGCAGTTCTTATGCATCCATGTTATATACTTCCCGCTGTCACACAGTCCACTTTTGACCCATCCTCCACACTTGGTGTTCTGGTCATGACAATCTGAAAAAAAGCACTGATGCTTATCACCTGGATAGTGATTCATTCCTTGGATACCGCCGCCTGGTTAGCTCAGTTGGGAGAGCAGCAGTCTGAGGGGGAGGTCGTGGGTTCAAACCCCGGGTGGACCAACACTCAGGGTCTTCAAATAACTGGGAAGAATGTGCTGCCTTAGAAATGACATCTACAAACGGTTAGACTTTCTAGTCTTCTCGGATAAGGACGAGAAACCGTAGGTCCCATCTCACAGCACTTTCACTTATTTTGTTCTCGTGTGGGCGTGAAGTACCCACACCATTGTTCGAAAAGAGTAGGGGACATAGACCCCAGTGGTAGGGCCAACCTTTCCCGGGGTGGGTGGGTTATCTGTAAGAAGAGATCTTAATATACGGATAACCTTCTTTAGCCGGTGTCGTAATGGCTAGCTGTAAACTGTGTAAGTATGTATGTCCGTATTTCCCTTCCACCTCAGTGGTCTCATTCCACACTGTAGATTTCCCATTCACCAACGATGTTAAAGGTATTGGTCAAAAGTTTACTTGAATTTTACTTACCGCAAACAAGACAGCTCTTAGGGCAATTCACCTCCATCCATAAAGAATTCTTCTTGCATTCACCAGTGGCCGCCCATCCCCTGCATTGTGCAGTGTTGTACACATCTTGACAGGCTGGCAGAAAAAGCGTTCAGTAGGAATTCCACATTATTATTTCACATAAGTATTCTGTGCACTACTTTCTATCATTATTCCAACTGTACGGTTGTTAGGGATGCCTTATTAAGTAGTGTCTTGCACAGATGGGCCACAACTCAGGGGCACTCAACAACTGTTTTCTGTAAAATAACTGTTCGGAGAGGCAAATACTGCCTAGAATTTTCTATTACTTGAGGACGGCTAAAAATTTCTAGATGACCGTTCCTTTCATGTACAATTTTCGAAGTTCATTTAATAAATTCCTAAGATTTTCTGAAATTTAATTTTTCACATTTCACTCCTCAGGTAAGGATATTTTTCGTAGAAAAAAGGAAACCTAAAATTTTCGGATTTAAAATGTTATGGAGAGAGGAATCAGAAAGATTCTCCCCTTTGTACCATGTTTTAAAAATTGCATCTAAAATTTTCGGGAAAAATACTGAATCCCTCGTAATTTCGAAAAGACTCAATTTCCCCTAAGAGGACCGAACAGGTACAAATTTGATTGCGCAGATTAGAATGCATTTCTAGAGATCCAAAAGTATTCTGGATAGAATCGGTAAAAAGTGTTTAAGAAACCGTCGTTGGGTGCCCCTGACAACTACCAGTGCTATATTTGTTTACTCAATTTTTTTCCTTTGTTACAGGACTTTGGAGGCACATCAACCTGAGTTGGGAGTTTAATTTGCAGATTTGGGATCACTAGCTAAGGGTGTTGAAAAAAAAAATGAAATAACTACAACCTCGGGCAAAATCTGTTGAGATTCATCGCAAAAATACTTATTTTTTATCTGACAGTGTCATCCTAGAAAAAATCAGCAAATGAATGCTTGTTTTCCCCCTCCCCTTAACCAATGTTGTTTGGGTAACACGAGAAATACAGACAGCTTAAAACTGTGCGTGAAGAAATAACGAAACCGGAAGAAGAAAAGGAGAAAAAAGAGGGAAGCATTCAATGACCAATTGTTATTTGTATTTGGTTGTCTGCGAATGGTGTCTGTTTGGGGTTCAAATGACGTTTGATTCGCGCACTGGATATTTGATTTTCCTCTAGGGGTCTAATTCCAATTTTCTCGCGATGTGGCGCATCCCGTGCCGTCATATAAGAAGATAGATGCTCCCGCGCGTGGTCGCACACTTTTTTTCCTCTTCATATTTAGAGAGGCTTAAACTTCCGATTTTAACTATTACACATATTTAAATTTGTTACTCTTATATTGGGGAGTTGGAATTGTATGCTCTTACTGCAAACTCCGCAACTCTTCATGCATTTACTTCTCATCCAGTCTGCGTGCTTCTTACATTCCCCAAGACCTGCCCAGAACTCACAGTGCAAAGTACAAGTGTCCTTACATTCTATAAATTAATGATAAAGGTCCTGTCATTGCCTGCTTGCAGTAAGAGTTACCTCCGGGCCGGTCGGCTAGTTCAGTGGATATAAAAGACTACATTAAAACACACAGCGGCACAAAATTAAAGTTTTTAAACTTTAATTTTGAAAAGTGGCGGAGAAATAAACAAGCAAACAAACACATTTTGAGGATCCATTTCTTTTTAAACCTCCAAAGTTGATAAGTTTGAAAATTTGATGTAGCCTACCTATAACGTCCTTACCTGCGGAGATTTGACTCCATACGAGAATTGCTGAACTTTTCCTTTTCCCTAACTGTTTTTTTTTTAACAAACCAAAACTCTTTTCAGTTAAATCTTTCAGTTTTTCTTTTCACAACAACGTTTTTGAGACTGTGCTTTGTACAAAGAGAAGAAGAAAAGATAGGAACAAACAAGAATCAAGTCAACAGGCAGAACCCTATCGAACCCTACGGCCATCTGTTACTTACAGAGCTCCTAAATCTTAAAACCTTCTGCTTGCGTTTTGTTTCCTAGTACGGAAACAGTCGGTAGACTACCGGTTGATTTTCCTGTGGACACGCAGCTCTTAAGACGGAGCACCGTTTTTTTTTTTTGACGAAAATTATACAGTAAAATGCATAAACAGTAATCCTTGGCAAGTCCCAAAGACAGGGGAACCACGGCTGGAACAAATGGAGATGGCTGCTGTGTTCCGTCAAATCCTAATCTTTATTACTCGGATATCTTCAGTCTTCAGGTGATTTTTCTATTCGCACCAACTGAAAGTAACATTTTGAACTTTCTTTGCTTTCAATTTTGTAGGTCGCAAATCAGTCATGACCGGTGAAACAGTGACAAAGGCCCTCTAGCGAAAAAAATATTCATTCGTACCTGTTGTTGATGGACTCTTTGTCGGAATAGGGTGGGTGAGTGCTGGAGGAGTAGTGGGCGTCGGTTGAGTCACCACAGTAGGACGAGTTTTTGGTTGTGGCGTCGGCATAAGATCTGTCAGTAAATTGAAGAGATTGCAATGAAACATGATGGTGAAAGCTACTACTTTACAAATCAAATCCAGTGGGAAATAAGCTACAATCTTGAACAAAAACGTTATGAAAAATGGGCGTTCCCATGTCTAGTTTCAAGATAACGCTCCTGAAAGCACTCGCAATTGTAAATACTCTCCCCTCCTCCCCCCCCCCCCCCCCCCCCCAACCCCCCCCCCCCCCCCCCCACAAACACCAAAACAAACAAACACTTCTCCACCCCCCCACAAACAAACACACAAGGGGGGGCGAGAGAAAGGGCCCCACTTCTTCCCCGGGGGGGGGGGTTGTGGGGCAAAATCCCCATGCTATTTCACAATAAACCCCTCCCACAAGCCCCCCAAAAGCAAAACCCCCCCCCCCCCCCCCCCCCCCCCCCCCCACACACACACCCTCTACCCCCAAACCAAAACACAATAATGATGGATCATTTCTGACACCGACTGAACAACATTCATGCAGGGTGGAGAAGGAGATGGGCCCACCATTTCTGCGGGGTAGGTGTTCTGTTGGCAAAAAAGTGCTATAACTGAGCCTTAAACCTTACATCTTGGCAATAAAAAGTTAAAAACTGGTCTAAAAGTACCTTGTAAATTGTCAAAGAAGTTAAACAGATTCTCGATGAATTTTGGTATATATTTGAGCCATGAAAAGTAATTCACCCCACTATCGGGGTTGTTCTCATCCTTTTTGGAGAGGTTTAATAATAGTACAAAAAGAAAAAAGTCAGGCATGGTTTGGCCAAGGCAACTGCCTCTATAACAACCAACTAAAGCTGATTGCCTTATGATGACCGAGCGGTTAAGTTTGAGAGTTGAACTTGCAACTCAGCCGTCCCAAGTTCAAGTCCTACCCTGACCGCTAGCTGGATTTGTTCTCGGTAGTCCAGAGATTAACTCCTCGGCCACGCTTGTGGCATAGCCAGCTAGTTTGCCTGTTTGCCAGCTGGGACTCTAACCCTTGTTGTGTTCCATTTGAATTCATTTTTCAGTGCCTGATTTGCTCGGCCTTGCAATTGCGCTAATAATTGCAATACTGTTGAGGGAAATAAATGTCATTTATTATTCACTCAAAATATGTTTCGCCGTTTCTGATTGCCCAGGTTGATAACATCCTCCTCGATCTGTATAATTCTTCATATCCTACTCAGCCTTATTCAATAATTGCTAATTATTAGTAATAGTTTTATCGGAATTTAAAGTTTGAGAAAAATAAAACATACCACAAACGCAGGTTTTAAAGCATTCATACTTCATGTAACCTAGTGAGCAGGCGTGACCGTTCTGTACTCTCCATTTACAAGTACTTGTTTCCACTTTGTCCATACATTTTTCTGCGATTAGGTCAAGAAAGTGGAGAGAGTTGTAATAGTCAGTCAGTGTGAAATTTTTATTGTCTTTTTTTTCCAAGCCGCAGCATGTGAGATAACAGATCCGAAGCAATTTTTAAACTTTAAGGCCGCGTTTGCCCGGCACTTCTTATACGTTACCTTCTTATATAACTTCATCATGTCATTTGGCCATATCGACGGATACCATAGTGTCAGAGCAACAATTCACATTAAACTTGTTTCGCACGCACTAAAGTCTGTTTTTGATAACTTCAATGGCTTCTTAATCCACTCAATCTAGTTATCTTTTGCGCGCACCAGGTTTTAGCCTGCGTTGCGGAGTCCAATTAGTTGAAAATCAGACTTCGAAGGGGAAAGGGGAGGGGGGGGGGGGGTGAGGAAGGGACCTAGTTTTACTTTTTGACATGAGAGTTGTTCATGATACTGTGTGAAAACTTACTTTCGCAGTTCTTCCCATACCATCCTTGATCACAGATCTTCTCTAAGGAAAAGAGTAACATGTAAATTTGTCAACGGTCTGTGAACAAACTCCTTACTTAAGAAAATTGCATCCTCTCCATTAGCCTAGTGCACCAAGAAATTATTATTCTGCACGAAAACATGCACAAAGCAAAGCAGCTTAGTCCTTACCAGTGCAATCGGAGCCTTTCCACTTTCCGTAACACGTACAGGTACAAGTTTTTCGATCGATTTGCCCTCCATTCTTGCATTGTAATTGACATTCTGGGATAGAAATTATTTTTATGGCAAGAGATTATAAAAAATAGGCTCAGTTGTCAGTTGTATTGGATTCGCTTCTGGGACCTGTTTCTCGAACTGAGTCCCGATAATAAAAACGGGCACGAAATGCTGTTGTCGTTTACAGAAAAGATCGTTGTTTCAATAGTAGTTTTGCAGATAAAATTTGAATTGAATATGATAAAACTATAAGTAAAGCCGTGAAACAAAATGTAGAGGTTTCTTAGCTGGGAACCGCGTTTTTGTTCTTTAGATTTGGATCTGAATATTTGATTTCCGTCTCTTAAAGTTACCGGGACTTTCTAGAAACAGGCCCCAGAAGCGGAATCCACCAATCACAGCTGACCATTTCTCTGCAAAGGGTGATGCTAATCTAGCCGCTTGACTATGTAATAATAGTAAACAGTCGAAACGTATCGCGATCATATCTGTGTGACTAAATCATGAGGCAAATGATTTCATCCCCCGTCCTGTGTATCATTAAGATTCTAACTGCGAGTTTTTAGTAAAAAAAAAGCATTATAACGTCCGCGTCTTCTGTTGTCTTCGTTTTTATTTAGAAACTACTGTGAAGCTACTCACTACACATGTTGCACATCTGAGGGCAGCGTTTTTCCATGAGATCTTTATGTGAGAGACACATGCCTTTCGTGTATGTCCCTCCACATTTGGGGCTGAAATCCTTGCACTCTCCTGTGAACAGAATAAATTAGCTATATTTTTATTTTATCTATCCATCGACGGCCGCTTCACAGAATTTCACTGACAACTGGTTACAGGTTGGGATTCACACTTTATTGAGCCTCTGGAGCCTTTTAGAATAATCACAATCATGAACTTTGAGAAATGTGTGCCTTTGTACACAAGAGGATAGAGAGCTTTATAAGATTCGAGGACGACTACGAGTACGAGGTTTTCTCAATACTATAGGTATTGCGTGCGCGTGAGCCTCCGTCATTTTGGTGGGAAAACGTGAAAGCCGTTGTCATTGTACAACGGCATTTAGCGCGAATGCCGTAGTGGCGTGAACAAGTTATCAAATGTAAGAAGTTCTAAGATTTTGCTATCGGGAAAGGGCTTAACCTCCTTCAGTATAAATAAGCGTACAAGCTTTTTTGGTGAAAAAAGGTAAAATGAAGCTTTCCGCGGTGTCTTTTTTTGAGAACATGCACGCGCAAAAAACTTTAAGTTAAATCTCGTTCTCGTCCCCAAATCTGAAGCTCTCTAATATGGTACAAAGAGGGACCGAGAAGGAAACGCCCAGTCTAGTTTTGTGAATTTCACCAAAGTTAATCTTAGACCAACTAAACGTTGGTTTCCAGGGGGGTCCGAATTTTTTATTCAGTGTTGTCAAGAGATAATAATAGGGGGCTCAAGCAACGACGGAACCAAAAAAAAAAACGTACATAAAACAATGAATTTGCGTCCTTTCAAACTTTATCGCGTCTATTTGGACCCGCTCTATTTGTTAAATGTAGGCCATTTTTCCCTAGAGTTGAATTCTTACGGGCTTTATCCAGGTTCAAAAAAGGAAAGTTCGTCCTCGTATGTTCACGTCCTCCAGAAAACGTTAGTTTAAGTCGTAGTCGTGCAGTAGACGTCAAAGAAATATACTCAAAGCGTTATGCACGTGCAAAGCTGTTGTTTTGCTCATAAAATCAATTGTTTTTGGACGTTGTCGATGTCGTCATCGTCGTGGTAGCTTAAGCTTCCCGATGGGACATCATACTCTCTTAGCATGTCTCCATTACAATATACTGCAGAGACAAATGCGGATGGACTTGATTACGTTTTAAATAATCGATTAAAATGGACGTCGCAGGGATTAAATTACAATCCCTAAAAATAACTTAAGCGAAATTCGCATATCCCGGCCAACGCCCTAAGGTTCCTTCTCTGACCCATTCTTCTTTCTTGAGAAAACTGAGTGCACCGTACATGATACTGTGAATTAACTTCGCCTCTCAGTCCAGTGAGTTCTCGCCGGATTTCGCCGAAAAACTTTGCCAAAATACTAGGAAATTGATGCGAGATTTGTTATGTAAAAGTCTTTTTTATATAGACGATCGACGAAATATTATACTGAGTTTGCAATAACTAATCTAGAAAAAAAAAATTCGCACAGACAAATAATCATCAGAGAGAAAGGTCTATACATTAAGGAGGAGCGAATCTCGATTGCAAGAAAATGTTGTGTTGCTTAATCGCAAAAGTTCTCGATGGAAGTTCTGTTAAGTTTTCACCCTAAAATAACTGTGAGTTGTGTAGAAAGTATAGTCATCAGTGTACTCACTGCAGAGATTCTTGTAACACCATCCTTTTCCACTAGCACATTTGGAGCAGGGTGGGCCAGGTGTATAGGGAAACTGACCAACCACGTTACCGCTGCAACAAATCCATAGTTAACAGAAATTCTGCTTCTCCAGTATACTCAAAGCGACATTTTAGAGCTCATTCTTATCTTCTCATTTATAGTATAGGATGAAATTCCGGTTTTTTGTGTATTAATGAAGACTGACGCTTGTGAGAGCCAGAATTTCAGCTCTCGAAAAATCAAATTTGTAAAATTCTGAAAAGTGTTATGAACAGTTTGGCTTAATTTGTAGGCATGTTCTCATGAGTGGAAAGGAATACGTGTACTCTGGATTTAATACTACACAATTCATCGTTTCATAAACGGATGGGAGAATAAGTACAACCTTTCGGCGCAGAGGTCTCTGGGATCCTTTGAATTGACAGAATTGAATGATTGGTATAAGGTTGCCTTGGTTACTACTGACCATAGACTCTTGCCAACCATGATAAACGCTCGTTCATCCAAACTAGTGCAATGAATCGTTGCACCAACAGCTTGTACCCATTCTCCTCATCACTTGATACTGGCCAATATTGGTATCATAAATAGCTGGTTAAGTATTTACCTTGGGTAGTAGTCACAAGTGACAACAGTCTCTCCAGGTACCCAGGGGTGTGGCGTGCCGAAGTACTTATCACACCATTTGAAGGCACAGCCCAATTTTTTGCTACTTGCCCAGACAACCTGAAAAAAGATAAAACTAACTGAATTAAGAAACCTGAACTTTCTTTAGAAGTAAAAGAGTATGTGCTTGCGTTGCACGGTATTTACATTGGGAACTTTAGGGCGGGGGTGGGAGGTGTCTGGAACCCCCATCTATCAGACCGGAGTAAAGTACTTCCCTAAGTGCTTTGAGGTCAATTACTAATTACAACCCTAGAGTTGCATGAACAACTCTCTTTTCGTATGCTTAAAAACAGGAAATAACGTTCCAACGACTTAGCACTGTGACGGTGCCTTGCAACCATGTTTAAATTGACTAAAACTGGACGAAATCATTTTGTTCTCGCTTGACAACACAAGAGAAAAATGTTTTAGAGCCTGGTTCATCACGAGTAGAATGTCACATGTCCTGCAAAAGGCATCATGATAAAGTGCACAAGGATCGAAAGTATTGGCTGGTTATAATTTTCTGGATCCGCCCCTCATTAAGATAAGTCTGAGGGAGCTCTCCAAAATTCAGAACTGGCCGGCCGGCCATGGCAGGCCCGGTCATTTTGACCTGAATGACGTAGACTTTTTCAAGGTTCACTTCGCTGAACTATTTACCAAAATAGGACGATCAAGTAGTACCTGAGTGTAGTGTCCACACGGCTTTCTAGTGCACATGCTCTGTGGCATTGGATAAGCAAATTTGCCAAATGAATAATAATCTCTCTCATTGAACCATCTACGCACGGAGTCCTCAGGCCCAGCGTTTTTGTTGTCAATCCACTTTCCCCATTCTCGCGCCAGGTTTTGCCCTGATTATCGGCAGTTTGAAAAGAGACAGATTTTAAGGGTTTACAGCCTTGTCAACTAAACAGTGAGTTATTAGTACCTGTAGTTACTGTCATTAGGTGCACTTAAACCGGGATTCTGCTTTAAGATTTCAAATAGATTACTACTCGTTTATTGTTTTCGTACCAGTGGTCTTAAATTGCAAGCTTGCGAGAGTTTGCACACTAAAACGAAGCTACAGCTATGTTGAGCCATGGATAATAGAAAGACTAGTATTATTATCCTTGGTTTGGAGGAACCTGAAGATCTTAAAAGTGTTCCCAAGAAATCAAAATATTTTCTTAAAAAAGTAAAAGACTCAGCTTTCTTGTACTTGTAAAGTTTGAGCTTGATCAAACTGAAACTTTGTCTATTTATTCAGGGTAAATAATAGTGTGTAATTTCCACTTTGATGCAGCCCTAGCATTTCCTTGTCTTTACCAGGCGATATCACGCTCATTCGCCGCGGGATCGCGTTTGATTCCCGTGCAAACGCAAGTGAATAAAAAACTTAAGTATCAAAAAAAATAAAAATAAAAAAAACACCGAGCATGTGGGACGTATACCCTGATGTTGTGGTCAACCTTCACACATCACATCATTCACATCTTGGGTTGGGTGGGTACAGTAAGCTCATAAATGGACTGAAAGCGGCTGCCAGTGGCGCCTTCGTATGCTGACGTCCGAGCTCACTGGTCACATTATAAAATGTATTGTAAGAGGGCACGTCTGTTGTCCTCTCATCCACGACTCTTCACTCTCTTCATTCATTTATTCTTCACTTTTATTTCTTACCTACAGTTTTGCTTCGGAAGGCTACATTTGGGTGCCAGGCTCCAAACTTGGTAAAGCCATGCATCCACTCACATTGATCTGACCACATCTGAGCCAGGTTACCAAGGTCATCATTCCACTCCTATAATCGTAACTAGGCTTCAGTTAATGAATAGAATTTTTGTGTGTAACCGATAAGAGCGAGACTGAACTGTTCACTCTCTAACCTAGCATGCGTGATAGTGCAGTCAACAGCACAAAAACTCACCAGATACTCCATGTCCGCCGCACTGGGCTGTACCTGTCCTCTCAAAGTGTTGTGCAAGTCTAAGAATTTCTCCTTAAGATCGTCACTTAAACGACACGTAACAAAATCACCTGGCTGAGGAGCAATTGGTCCCCTTTTACTTGTACTTATTTGCAGTGTAGAAAACCAGAGGAAGAGACACACCAAGGACTTCATCATGACGTATCAACTACGGTATAAGGAAAACCAGCTATTTGAGAAAATCAGAACCGATTGTTTAAAGAATCTAAGAGGAAACTTCTATTCATCACTGACCAAATATCAAGAAATTCTCTTCCGGTGTTCTGTTCAGTTGTATTGATCAGTGTATTATAGCCTGGTTTGGCCAGGGTTTTGCAGGCGCCAATAATTGTATTTTTGTTTTGGATATTTTCGTGCACGAGTCCTTGAAATTTGTTCTTTACACTCTTTTTTTTTCATATAGAAATATTGTCTTTCCGGCCCAGGCCTATGCTTATTTTTCTGCCGATATCAAGCTGAAAATCCTCTTGTATTACTCTTACGTTATAGCTTATGACATTTTCGTTTTAGAATGATTGGTATCAATTATAGTTAGTGCAGGTTTTTTTCCTTTTGTTGGCGAGTAGTTTTGCTGTTTAGAGGAAGGAATAAGTTAAAATCATATACATTATAATTTGTATTAACAGATTCCACTCAACACACAAAATAACATCCTTTTCAAAATCTCAGCCTCGGGTTTTTATTCTTAAATTATAAAAAAAGGTGTATTTGGCCAATTTTTATTGTTAAAAAACCTCTATTAAGCGGACACCGGTTAGTAATATTGGATCACGTCCTTGAAATATGTACTGTAGTCGATAAAAAATGATAAATCAATACATTTAGCTGTCAAAAAACTGCTGATTATACCGATATTCGGCGGTGTGATTGTCATCCGCGATCAACGTTTACCTAAAAGTCTTGCACAAAGTACAGCACAGCTTCCATAGCATCCTTCACCACATGGAACTTTATCACAGTACAGAGAGTGTACTGAGTAACGTTGAATGTTGATCGTTAACAAACATTGCACAATTTTTACAACCTCTTCTAAGCGGACACTCTCTATTTAAGCGGAAACCTGGGAAAGTCCCAATTAGCTCGTTTAATCCCAATCTCAATTAATGTCAAGGCGTATTCAAAAAAGTCAGTCGAGCTTAACCGCGCGAAGTTTGACCGTTGACGTTTTGCCCGTCTGATTCATTTGAATATTAAAGCTAAAAAGTATAAAGCAACGTTATCAGGTTGTCATGCATCCTGTGTGACTTATGTCTAAATGACAGAATCTAACTTTCAAACTTGTCAGCATACCTTCCACTGTATTTATTGAAGTCAACTTTATTCGCCTTCGATGCGGGTCTAGTAATGTGGTGACATTTTGAAACTGATAAAAAGTTGAAAAATTATCGCAGTTCGTAGAAGTCAGTAAGCTGGAATTGACGAATGTGAAATTTTTTTAAAAACTTTAAGAATGTTTTGATTACAACTTTTTCAGCTGTAAAAAATTGGCAGCCAGTGAAAAGGTTTTGGTTTGCGAACAATTTCACCTCTCCCATTTGTTGCTAACTTTTCATCGTAATCACACTTCCGTAACAATTAACTGAACTACAAAACGTAAATTTTCATGGTGAACATTGCTATTTGTTTACAGTTTAGGATTGAGTTTAGTGGTGAGATTTTTTAAACGTCGGTGATTTTGACCTTTAACGTCAGTCTGAGAGCTGCAATGAGTTAAGGAATATGAAAAAGAGATTTTTTTGCTAGTAAACGCTATCTGAACCTGTACTTACCACTGAAATAGCTTTTAGAACTTTGTCCTGACCTCGAAAAGTCGCGCATTCAGACTGAAATGGGCGAATTTTGGCCGTTAGTTTTATACTTAGCTTTCAGTCTTAAGCTTATGTTATAACAGTTAATTAATGCAGAGAAAGTCAACTGTCGCTTGGTTTAAACAGTAATAATCCAGTCTTTGTTTGTTTGCTAAGTGTTGGTCTAATTCGAGTCTACAAACAGTGTAAAATACCCTGCTGAAAGAATGCTCTTTTGTTCATGTTCAATGAAAAAGACGAATTTGAAAATGAAGTAACGGAAGCCATGCAGTGTCAAACTGTAGAACTGAAAAAATGTCAGTGGTCATTATCATAGCTTGGTAATTATCGATAGATATCGATAGATAGCTAGAATTGCGAATTATAAAAGTATACTTCGAACAGAACAGCATTGGGATCTACGGAAAACTAAAGTAAATAATAATACATAGCGCTGTAGCCATGAGCTACTACCGTATTTAAAATAATAATCGTCGGTTTCGGCGCACTTGGCATAGCAGCTCTAATCTCATCGCCTCGCCCTCGTCAACTCTTACGGACCGAAGTAGGGGTAATAAATGTTGTATTCCTCGATGTAGCTGTTGTGGTTCAATTCTATCCTTGGTTCAATTTTTATTTTCTTTTGTTTCATACTCATTATCATACTTCATTACCATACCCAAAAACCGGCCTGACCCAAAACAAAAGAAAATAAAATTTAAACCAAGGGTGACCATTGAACCACAACATAGCTCTGCAGTCACGCTCGTGATTGACCTATTTCTGGTCGTTCAGGTTCTATTGATTTTTGTCACATAAAATTCCTCCATCGTAATGAGCCAATGCAAAGCCAACAATAACCCTCACAATGGACCCTTTAATAGAGCCGGCAAAACATCTCTAAACCGTCACATGAAACACAAACACCCTGCTGGAGAGCATAAGACGCAGTGGAGCAACAAAAACAAAGAGGCTACATCACCATTTTATTTTTTCCTTCATCTTTTCAAGGTCCAACACAACCAAAATTGTTGTTTGCCCTACAGCAAGGTATTTCGGTACCATGCGACCATTTAGCTGCACTGGAACATAGTTAGTAAAGGGGACTGGTTATGAGCGGCAAACATCAGTGCTGCACTTTATGTATTCTCCTAACAATGTTAGGAGCTTAAACGCTGCACAATCCTATGTTTTTTGTTCACGAATTGCCGGTAACGGTATAAATTGAAGGGACATTTTCATCATGTTTTATTGGTCAGGGATGTGCAACTCAAGTACACAAAAACATATATAACAAAGGAGTCTGGCGGGCTTCATAACCTGATTCCATGATAAGAACGAATCATTGGTAAAAATTTGCCGTTTGGAACCAGCCTTACTCTTTGTACGCTACCGGGAATATGGATCAATCATGGGGCAGGCCTTACGAGGTTCAGCCATTTCTGATCTTCGTCCGGACCTCCCGGCATTAAGGTGGTGTGTTGTCGTCAAATATCTCTCAAGAGCGACTGGGAATATGTCGGGCCAGCGGTTGCGCACAAGGACCATGTACACAACATTTGATTAGATAGGATCAAGTTTATTTTGAGTTTTAATTTATTGTACGTGAATATTCATCAGATATCTCACAATAACGCTAACCTATCAGTTACATCATAAATGTGTGGCAAATTATCAAAAAACAAAAAAACGGTCACATACTCATTCAGTGTAGTTTCACTGATATTTCAGTCTGTAGAGCAAAAGCTTGAAATTCCTCTTTTTCTGAGAGTTTGAGATCCCTCCCTACAAGTTTTGTGAAATGAACAGAAGGTAAACATTATCTTGTTTACAGTCTTTGCCTATGGCCTTTTAATCAGGCTGAGTAAAAGAAAAAGAAAACAAGTTATTAAAAATGCCACTTACTATATTTAGAAGCATATATAACCCTGAAGCGTCTAAATTCCCCTTATTTGTTTGGAACCATGCTGGGGCTTTCTAGCCGTCCAATCAGAAGCACGAAAATTTTTTTGCCCAAATATCGAATCAGAGAATTGAACGCATCTCTGTCTAAGACGTAGCTAATAACGAATTCTTCAAGTCCTGTTATATGCTTCTGCCATATTTCATACTTGCAGAAAGATTTCAAAATCAGTGCAAGCTGATTTAGATATGATAGCTCTTCTATGATAGGTGTCACCTTTAACTATAAATTGATTTTAAAAATCATGCAAACTCGAGCTCTGAAATTTATCTTAAAAAAATGTTTTCATTTGTAGACAGACTATAAAATGAACTACTTTAACCCAGATAAAAAAGACTTCAAACTCTGAACCAGTCACTCATCTTGATCTTCTGACCTCCCACTTTCACATGCTTCCTTTCAATGCACTTATTGCAAGTCTTCGGGCAGTGAAGCTCGATAAATTCTCTGTTCTCCGTCTTCTTCCCAAAGCAGAATTTCTTGAATCGCTTGCACAATTTAAGATGGTCTTTGCAATCTAGAAAAAGAGAGTAGAGAAACAAAAAACATTGACGTCAGTTGTGCAAGCTTACTACTGATACTATACATTAAGACCTCTAATTATCCGTATCGCCGATTTGAGTCTCACCACGAAACCATGAAGTTCCTTTCGCGCACTTATTGTTCTTTGCTGTTCTTTGCTACTCTCGGCTAACGCGCAGCAGGAGCCCCCGGCATATGAGCTCCTGCGCGCTGAAGCTTCCCTTTTATTAAGCATTTAGCCCATCGCTGGGCGTGCTTTAAAATAGTGCAGAGCGTAAACAAGCGTCACAAGCGTGTTAAAGAAGAGATCGTTCACTTCCTTTTGTGAAAATTGAAATCCAAATGAAAAATGCAAGCGGTTGTTTCGACAAGTAGGAGCACAAGTTATACATAATCGGTTCCTGACCGTAATATAAAAAAGCATCCACGAAACAGGGCTTTTGGAATCTCTCATATTTTCATTCAATTCGGGCGGCCTCAGCCGAGCTTGTGACCTGGGCCCAGTTGCTCGAAGCATGGTTAGCGTTAACCAGCGTTTAATACCTTGACAACGTATTAGTTTTGATACTGCTTAACCAATGGTTAAAGCTAACCATGCTTTGAGCAACTCAGCCCTGGACGCCTAGTCCACTCTGTCGTCCATGCAGGCTGAGAGTTCGCTGATGCCCCAGCGTCCCTTATTAGGGTGTCTAAGAATGTGGGCACTGGGCAACCGCGTCGCAGGTGCCCAAGTGTTGGCCACCACAGGACAAGCTGGCTGGCTGGCAGGCAATTCGCAGTGACGGTGCAGGCAATGGCTAGCAAGACCAAGCCTTCTGAATCCGTTCCTGGAAGCCCTAATGCATATTCAATACTCGGTACTGCTTATTTTATCAATGATTTTTCATTATCCCAACTTTTTGACTAGAGCTAAAAAAAATGGAAATGATTGAAAAATTCACTGGTTGTTCTTTTTGGATTTTTTTTTAATTGTGACGTTTACCAGGACAGCCTTTGATTCCATAGACATCTTTCCGTGGCGTGCGCAAATCCCAACAGCAGCCAAAAGAGCTAAATCTGCAGTCTTCCTGGGGCTTTCCACCTGTAGAACAACATATCAAGAGATTACCATGTCTGGACTAAAAGATAACATCTTTCATAAAGTTTGCATTACTTACAGAGGTGGCAAGTGGCAGCACAACTTCTGTTCAGCTTCGCCTTCAGTTGTTCAATTTCCGTGTAGCAAACTCCTAGTCCCAGCTCCTTGACAAGTTTCTCACAAGTCCTTTGCACATTTTCGTTATCTTTACAGTCTGTGTTGAAACAAATTCAAAGGCAAATTAGAGCGAGACTAAATGCGAGACTGGCATTTCCCCCATGAGCAGAGTTGTTGTATAACTGTCGTTCCTTTTAACATTATTCAATGTAATCAGTGTAATCAGGAGTCTATTACGCTCCTGATGTAATTTAGTAACTTCACCGGAATGGGACACCACGATAGTTCCCGCCAAAAAAGAGCACGGCCGTACCACTTCCTCTTCCCAAAAACCTACAAAAGATTGTCTATACTCCTAGAGGGCGGATGTACACAAGGTACTATTCTCCCGGGTACTATACTGAGTCCCTTTGCTGAGTCCCCTAATCTTTTAGAACAGTAATGTGGGCTCTTCTAGGCCCCCTTTGAACTGATTAGAACGAAAAAGGAGAAAAGGCCAATGCAGGGCCAATGGCACCTGAACTGAGATCAACAGACTGGCGTACTACCGTGTGATTGGTTCATCAGTGATCAAGCGGCCTTAAGTAAATTCAAATGTAGCAGCTGTCTTAGGTCTCCTAGTAGGAGACATTGGAAAGAGATGAAAATTTGAAAATCGGTGCCAAAGCACTTACCATGTAGCCTGAGTATCAGGCCTTCCTAAGGGGCTAGGGGAGGAGGTAGGGGGAAGGGGGGAGGAGAGAAAGGAAGGAGTGTAAAAAGGGGGTCGGTAGGCAACACACGACGTTTACATCATGCCCACACCTGGCTCATGCCAAAATGCTGTTTGTTCCAATAATCAGTTTTTCTTTTTCTCTGACGGGTAGATTGCTCGGGAGGATTAAGTTTTGACTGATAAAATGTGATTTTTGCTGCTTATTTCAAACTGAGAGGTCGTGACACGCATATTGATTTTTTGCGGTTATTATTGTTTCTGCTCGGCATGAATCAGTGATGATTTGCCCTCTGATGGAAGAGAATTTTTTCTTTGACCTCTTTTGAAATGTAACTTTTTTCATTGCGGCTAAATAAAGGTTTTAGGTTGTTTAATTTCTCCAAAGTGCCTCCTGGATCTGAATAATTATTTAAGCTCTTTTTGTCCGTGAATGTGACGGTTTACTGCAATGTATTGTCACGCTGGGCTTAGCTCGTTACTGTTTTTAGCAGGATGTTAAATTCTCACAAATGGTGATTTACAGATCCAAATCTCGAAGAATGGGTTGCAGCTTAAACTTAAGCTACATCAACTATGAAGAATTGCGATGTCATGATTGCTCTAAAACAATGAATTTTAAACTCCAGCTCGTTTTTCTATTAACGTAAGTCTTTGGCTGGAGCACGTAGTTCCTACCTTGGTGACAACTTTCGAATTAGCTTAATAGTCTTGCGACTGTTCTGTTATTGCCACTTTGTGATCAGGCAAGACCATGGTTTCGGTTCTCCACGCGAACCGCATCAGTTGCCGGGTTGACTTTATGCTTAGTTGCTTTAACATGAGCAACGTGAGGGATCGAAAATTCTAGCTTTCTTATTGGCTACTGAACGCAACCAATTACGGAGTGTGCATTTCGATCCTCTTCTGCTTGAAGCTTGAAGTGTGTTTTCTCGGAACGCATTTTGTGAAAATTTTAGCACTTTCTTTTGTAAAACAGTTGCAGATGTTCAGTAAATAAGTGTGAACAAAGATTCCGTACACTCCCTCTAAAATTGGAGTGGATACCTTCTTTGTTAGTAGAACAATGAGAAACTTTCTCCTCTGTTCTTGGTTCTTAGTAAGTGCTTGTCTTTTGCTCTCTCCCTTTTTCGCTTCTCTCGTCCCCCTCCCCCCTCCCCCTCCACCTAGAAACGCCAAGATTGTAGGACAGAGCTCGAGTAGAATTTAATGAAACAAGTTAAGAAAAAACGGAAGTGAACTAGGATAAAGCAAAAAAATGCTTTCATTGTTTTTATGGAAGGCTTTTTAATTCGGTGATTTCTGCCATGATAACGCATTTCTGAAAAACTCATTTTACGTTTCGTACCTACCTCGTCCCCAAGGCTTTCCCCTTAAAAAAATGGGTGGGGCGACCCCACCCATAGGGGAAAAGCCCTGGGGACGAGGTTGATTTCGTATTAGCACATTCCACGCAACCCTTTCGTTTTTGTGCATCGATTGCAACAAAGGAAGTTATCTCAATGACAGATGGGGATAGATGCTTAACCCTTTTCACCAAATCTGAGAGGATGATTTATCACTCTAACTTTTAAATCTGTGAATGAAATCCTATGGTCTCGTAATTCAAATGAAACCATCTTGGCAGTAGTGTTGCATTGTACTCTTTATTTCTAAGGATTTTACAAAAGAATACTTGAAATGTTTGGAAATCTTTAATGACATAAGCGGTTTGTCACTATGAAGAATGAACTGAAGGGTTGGAAGGCAAAAAGGAGTAAACAATACAATACTTACGATAGTTTATAAATGTTTAGGGGCAAAAATAAAGTGAAGTAGCTGAAGTTAAGCCGCCAATTATTGAAAGCATTTTGAAGGCTGACAAATTGCGTTCTATTTAACATGCTTTGTCACTTTATCTGAATTTTTATAATTGTCACTACTACGCTTATATTCGGTGTTTTTTACCTAAGAAAGTAAAATATGTACCGGAAAACACGTGATCTCTCATGAGGCTAGGTCAGTTTAAAGTGAGGAAGAGAATTAACCGTTCTTAAAGTTTCACTGTCATCATGGAAGAATTTTTTCAATCGACTCTCCGAGAAGCAAAAGGATATAAGTGGACTAATGACGTTTATCACAAAATCTTTTCTAACAGGGTGAAACAGACCGTTTAAAGGGTCAATTGTGAGGGAACTGCAAGGCGGAACCTAGCAGTAAGGGTTTTATCACGTATAAAACGCTGCATGCACAGAGGGAAAAAAAGCGATCGGAAGGAAATAGCCTAAAAGGACTAGTATCGCACAGAAAAATGCCTTAGCTTACATATTTCATGTTTTGGGTGACTGGGAGGATTTCCCATTCATTATATATCTGCTCAGTCCCCGGAGGGAATGGATTAGCCAGTGGAAGACTGTTAACTGTAACAATTAAAATTGAATCTAGCCAAGTTAGCAGATCTGTGGTGCTAAATTAGCAGCTTTCAGCAAGGGTGTTTTGCAAACTTTTTAGTTGTCGTTCACTGTCATGCCATCAATATACTCGAGGATCAAACGCGTTAATTATAAAGTCGGCTCCCTGACATGCTTGTCCGTGTTTGGATGTGATAGAAATGTACCAAAAGAAATCGTTTAACTTCAGCTGTTCCTAAAAAAAAAACCAACACTTGCGAAAGTTTTGCTAATGCAAGCCATACGTCGCTAGTTTTACTAAGTCGTCATTGTAAAAAAAAAAAACATAGAGATACCACACATCACGTACCTTGTCTTTTGGCCCTGATCCTGGTCTCTGCTCTTCCGTTAGCAGAAACTTGTGGAAGAACAACACACAGTGACAACACTGCAATCAAAATGTACCCCAAGGAAGTGTTTTTTCGACTGGCTGCCATGTTGCATCAAGAAAAAAATTCTCTTTTCTCGTTCGTTCGTGGCTTGTTTGTTGGGTTAATGTGCGGATTATCACCTTATATCTGTTGGGCGCAACCAGCGATCGTCACATGCGATAACTAAAACACGCAATTTATTTTCGCTGTCATCTTTAAATCATTCGCATGACAGGGGTCACCATATTCAGTAAAACCTCTGATCAAGCGGGATCCTTCATCTATAGGTAAAGAAGTCTGGACCGATGGACTCAGTGTCCTTTTTTTGATGTCCTCATTGAACAACCACTTTTACCGTTGTTACTGCTGGAGAGAGGTATTTTTCTGTTTATTTTTTAACGCACCTTTTACTTCCGGCTCTGATCTCTTCTCACAGAAAACCGGTTATAAACAAAAACATTTACAGTGACGTTGTGGAGTGAAGGATGATCGCTCCTGTTTCGTAACTAAGGAATTTTCAGTTGAAAAGCAACTACTGTTCAGTGATGTTACTCGTCTAGCATGCATTTTACCGTTTTGAAAATGATCTCGCTGGATCAAATGCAAAACAATCCATAGAAAAATCGCCAAAAATCCAAATGTCATTTTGTCACTGCAGTTCCTGAAAAGTAGACGATACTACGTACACCTAAAAGAGTTTTTTTTAAAAAAAAAATTTGTTTCGATCAACTAATGATAATTGACAGATTCCAGATTTGGGCAATACAGCGATTCTACCTCCACTTGGAAACTTGACAACTTATCGAACAGTGTGTGTTTACTCAGGTATTCTAAATCTGCCACAGGGACCCAGGCTCTTATATCAAAATATAAATATAGGCGCTTTGATAGCGCTAGTCTAGAGAGCGACAAATAATAATAATAATAATAATAGTTTCAGGGACACCCTACGTCAATTTTCGGAAAATATCTGTTCGGAAGACGATTTGAGATCTAGAATTTTCGGAACATTTTTTGTAAAATTTCTTGCTTGCCTACCTCTCCTAGGATTTTCGAACATCTAAAAATTAGTGTAATTGCCCATTTTTAACGGATTTTTACCTTAAAAAGCTCACCTAGAATTTTCGGGAGCCTTTTTACTGGCTGAAATTTTCGAAAAGGTAAGTTTTGATCCCTATGATTCAGGGGCGGATCCAGGATTTTTTTCAGGAGGGGGTGCACTCGTCTCTTGCTCTACTTCAACACCAATAACCCACATTTTTTTTTGCAGAATACCAGTTGTATTAGAAAACCAAAGGTCATCTCAGGGGGGGGGGGTGCGCACCCCCTGCACCCTCCCCCTAGATCCACCCTTGTGATTTTCGGATCTCGAGACTTTCAGCTAGGAAATCCGAACAGATGAAGAATTTTTAGGGGATAAAAATATGCCTATATCTACCGTTTAAATACTAAAAAAAGTTTAACAATGCTATGTTTAAGTGGTTTTGAACTATATTCTCGTTGGGTGCCCCTGTAGTTTATAGACAGTTGTTTACATTTTCTCTGTTGAAAACCACCGGACCACCAAGAAGTCTTTTTTAACTATAGTTATACTAAATTTGTATTTAATTTTCACTTTGAGAAGAGTTTAATAAAGTATGTTTTTTATTATTATTTAATGATAATAATAATAATAATAGTAATAATAATAATAACGACAACAATAAACAAATGACAAGTGGCTTCCATTATAACTCATTTACTTTTCTTATGAAACTGAAGATGTTTTGCCTGCTTTTGCGTTGTTTCTCGACTATACCCTGAGCATGTTCAGACCGTCATCTCAGCCAACTTTATTCTTCACTCAGGGGCACCCAACGGCAATTTTCGGGAAAATATCTGTTCGGAAGACGATTTAAGAACTAGAATTTTCGGAACATTTGTTGTAAAATTTCTTGCTTGCCTGCCTCTCCTAGGATTTTCGAACATCTACAAAATGGTATAATTACCCATTTTAAACGGATATTTACCCTAAAAAAGGCCACCTAGAATTTTCGGGAGCCTTTTCCTGGCTGAAATTTTCGAAAAAGGAAGTTTTGATCCCTATAATTTTCGGATCACTAGACTTTCAGCTAGGAAATCCGAACAGATGAAAAGTTTTTAGGGGATAAAAATATGCCTATATCTACCGTTTAAATACTAAAATACGTTCAATAATGCTATGTTAAGTGGTTTTGAACTATATCCTCGTTGGGTGCCCCTGTTCACTTCTCTACAGTATGATATACACACTTCGTAGAAATTATAACATCTAACTGAAATGGCGCTTAATGATTTATTATAATGATACAAAACGTAAATGTTATTTATCTAGCGCTACTTCCTATGGATCATAGCGCTTTACATTGTTTACAACAAAAAGAAAAAATGATAAAAATTTACATCAAATGTTTATAAAAAAGTGTTGACTCAGATTACATGACCTTACTTTATACATACCTTGCTATATATGTTATCTACAATTGTGCTAAAAAAAATATTGAGATGCTGTGAAAACCAATTCAAAGAAATGAAAACGATGAAATCTGAAAATCTTTATATAATATTAACATGTTACATATATAAAGTCAAAACTGAAACTTAGCCCACAATTCTGTTTAAAAAGATATGTGTACATAGACATACGTGGAATGGTTTTAATAATAGTTTGAAGGTTCCATGTACTGTAAATCCATGGCTATCATTTTGATATTAGGCCGTCCACACGAATTCGGATACTTTTGAAACCGCATTTTTTTTTTTTTTCACAATCGAACGCGGATGAATGAATGAGCGAATTTAATGGTTTCGTGTGGAGAGAAGGCCGGTCTTGTCAGAAATATGAGGTTATTTTAAAAAATATCCGAATTATGTGGACTGGGCCTTATTTGTGGTAAAACACTAAACTACAATTAGCAAATATATTTTTTTGATAGCCTTGTTCATCCGTGGCCTATTTCAAACTGGAACAAAACTTGACTTGCACTGAGTTAGTTGCAATCATTGGGTGACCATAATATCGGTCAAACTGTAAGATACTGTGACGGGTTGGTGATCAATCAAACATCGAAAATCCAGAAGAAGTACTTAGTCATCTCATAGGGTGTTATCTTCATTTCTTCTTGAATATTCCAGTTCAGTTGCTTTACCCGCTAAAAATAAACAGAGATCCAGTTGCCAGTCAACAAATCATTCTTTTTAACCTGCCAGCAGAGGCTGCACCAGCTGGCGTTTAGTTCGTTTACGATTGTGGGCATTGTTTAGTAGAGAATTTAACACAGTCGTCCGGCTATTTCTTGACTGCGCGCACACAAATTGTTACTGAATATCAAATCTTACACAAAAGTCAAGTGAAACAACAGAAGAACAGAACTTAAAAGTAATGATGTTTCCCAACTTTTTCAAAAGTAATTTGGTGATTAATTATTTGGTTAGTTACACGTACGAAATATCGACCAGTTCATATGCGTTCCCCAGTGTAACTGGTGCCCGCCAGTAACATGATGTTATTGTTTGCACATTTTAAGCGGCCACAACCGTAATCAGTGACAGTTCGCCCCATGTAAGGGAATTCAAGACAGTCTTGGATTCTGGGATCCAAGTCACGGATTTCGGATCCCAGGTAATGGAACAGCCGGATCCTTTGTCAGTGGGATTTGGATTCTGGATTCCAATCGATAGTGGGATCCGGAATTTTGGATCTGTATTCCGAATTCCAAAGCACGGATTCCCGGATTCCAGATTTCGGACTCCCTTACTTTGGGCACGACAGCACTGTAACTACTGTGGCTTACCTTTGTTTGATCAAAGTTTTCCCCAGTCAGACATCTTGATCTTTTGTCCACTAATCCTCATATCCCTTCTTGTCCGGCATCTCCCACATGTCAAGGGACAGTGAAGGTCCATAAATGCTCCGTTCTCAGAGTCTTGACCACAGAATTTTTTGAATCGTTTACACAATCGAAGATGATTTTTGCATTCTAAAAAAGGTAAGATTCAAAAGGAAATTTATTCGTGTAAATAAAAAACATAATACTCTACACATCTTTGCTTAGAAATGTTGAAAGTTAAAACTGACTATAATTTCGGAATCATACATATTTTGCTTCGTGTTAACCCCGTGTGTGTGCCTATGTTCCCAAAAAGTCTTTTCACATGCACTTCACTGGAGAGAAATTTTTTGGTAAGCAATTTTTCTAAGCATTTTAAAACATCCTGGGTCTGGTGTCAGCGTTTCCATGCCTGTGATATCTTCCTTTTAATTACATATAGCTGCCAAATCACCTGACAGACAGCACGAGATGAAGCCGACCTTAAAAACTTCCTTTTTTTCACCTCGAAGAAACACTACACACAAGTTGCTTGCATGAGTTGTTTGTTTGGAGACATATGTTATAAAGTTAGGTCTACACTAGCCTCCCCGCAGACGTCCTTTGGGTTCGTTCGTCACGCATGGGGTAAGAAATGAATGCGTGACGAACGAACGGCAAAGGACGTCTGCGGGGAGGCAAGGTCACTCGATAGAGAAAACGCTGTTACGTACTTTAAATCATGAACCTCAACAATGAGACCCTAAGAGCTTTCTGTGCAGAGTTCATCTAATTATTTTATTTGCATAATCAGCGAGTGTCGTGCCGGCGATAATTCTCATCCGGGGATTACGAACTTATCCATTCTTGGTTTTAATTATTTTCAGACAGTTATCTTCACACTGATAAAACATGTGCTATGTTGGCAATGTGGCTACGCACTGTAAAGAGATTTCTGAAAACGGCTGCCTAAACTGTTGAAGATGTCGCCAAGAAAACTTGAAGCCCTCACTTTCTGGAAGCCCTGCCGCATGGAGAGCTTGTAATAATGTACGTTTTACTAATAAACTAATAAATTTTGAATCCATAAATTCATTGGGTCTCATCGTTCGTGATTCATTCTTTTATTCGCTGTTTTCATAGTTAGTAGTGTTTCGCCATCATTTTTACTCTCTTTGTATCAGGACTTTACCTGGGCATCCTTTAATTCCATAGACATCCCCACTGGGTGTGTATGCATCCCAACAACAACCGTAAATACTTGTTCTACAATCTTTTGGGCGGCCTCCACCTAAAGAGAAATTTGAAAGTTTTATTTCTATTGATCTATCACTGCTTCAGAGAAACACCGTGCAGGTGACCCGAAATCTCACAGACGTTGTGTGGTGGCAATTTCGAGCCGTCAACCACACAAACGTCTGTAACGATTTCGCGACTTTGTGTGGCAAAATCTTTTCTGGAAGTATCACCTTAGAATTTTGTAAGTTTACTAATTTCAAGGCACTCTTGCCAGCAGTGTCGATTGATATTCTCTCAGTGATCTTAATAAGTCTCAGTAAAAAAAAAAACAGTGGAAAGGTCTATTGGGTGTAGCGTTTAAACTGTTGTGACTATATCATTTGTGGTGCTTACAGAACTTGCAAGTTTCCCCACAGCTTCTCTCCAATTTTGCTTTCAGGGGTGCAACATCCGTATAGCACACCTGAATACCCATCTCCTTTACAAGCTTAATGCAAGTAGCGCGTCCTCTTGATTCATCCTTGCACCCTAAAAAATGAAATAACAGATCATCAAAGACTCATAAAGCCCCGGTCAAACCGTAACAATAACAGCGCCGCTTCGACATTCTCAGACAACTTTCTCAGAATGTCTCTGAGGTTTTGAGCTGGTCAGAAAAACACAAACTTACCGTCACATTTATAGAAACGTTTTGTCATCTTAAAAGAAAATTCAATTTATGTTACGCATCTCCTCTTTTAAGAATCTCACATTCGTAGTCCCCAAAAAGGTTTTTTTTTCTCAAGCTCTAATAAAATCTATTTTCAAAAAGCATGAGTCAAAAAGCCACAACAGTTTCACAACATGTGTTATTTCATTAGCCGATGTTGCATGTGTTTCATCCTCCCCTATATACAAAGTCGTTGTGAGAAATTGAGAAAGGTTTCAACTTGTATACAGTGTATTATCAGCATCGTCACAAAAATATCACCAAAAAGTTATATTCATATTCCGCGGCCGAGACAGAAAGCGTAGAATCAAAGCATGAGCTCAGAAAATATTTTGTTGAAGAGGAGAGTCGAAGTCTTTGACAGAGTTTATTTACTTTTAATTTAGTAACATCTAATCAGCCCTTCTTTAACTTGAGACATCCGATCAATGATGAGGCATAGCAGCCTTTTAAAAATGTTGGCAATGTCCTTCTCTTCATAATTTTTGACACCAAAAACGACTTTAATGGCCTCTTGAAAAACCACCGCTTTGAGGACAATAGACTTCTTTCGACAGACAAGTGCTGTCAAGAGCCACAATAAGCCAAGCCCATTAAGGCTCTTGGTGCTGTTAATGAATAAATTAGTTTCCAATAAAACCCTTTACTTTCGATCGCAATTTACGGAATGTGGTTTCATTCTGGGTTTATGTACGAACTACCATATTTGGCTTGGCCATTTAAGGGCAATTACTCTCAACTGATTCGTTCTAGTTCCATTATTTCATCGGTTTTCATTTGAAAACTCGCCGAGAATTCATTCCATCGAAAAATGTCTTAATTAGGCGTATTTAGTTCATGTCACAACTACATGCTGAAGAATTTTGGATAATTTTTAGAGTGTTTTATGGAAGGAAAAATGGGGAGAAAAGAAATTTAGAAGTTTCAAGGTAAACTGGCAATTAAAATTTAAAGAGAATATTAGTTGACAAAGGCCAGTGTCTACTCTTGGCTACCGGCCTTCATCTTTTCATTGCCAAATTTATACGCTTTTCAAAAAAATTCAACCATACATAAAGCCTCCTTAATGCATGAAACCCCATCGGCTGAGCATTTCGTAATTATGTTATCGAAATGAGATTTGGGATTTCTTTCTTAAAGTTTTATTTTTGGCAGTTTTGTGAATAAAAGGGTTTTAGACTTTATTTTATCCAATCAACATCGATAAGTCAGTGGATATATACTTTATTTTTCATCACTGTCTGGCTGATTTGAGGCCAATAGCAAATGTTTGTAGGCATACCGCGAATGTTTAACTCTAAAGACCATAGGAAGGCTGAATATTCCGTTGAGCTCCTGTCCATGATTTTTCTTTCCTTTGCCCTTTTTTAAGCCTTAACATCAGTTTTTAATACGCATTAGATGGCATCATATTTTTAAAAAACCCAACTCTATATTTGGGAAATTGAAACACCAAAACCAACAACACTAAACGTTCAAATAAAACGTGGGGTTGAAAAGCGCTTTACAGATAATCGGAAACTGTGCCGGGAAATTTTAGCCCTTTGCTCGGAAAAATTACCAAATCGGTAGCAACACATCTGCTTCTAAGATTCATTTAAAATATACCTTTAAGTTGAATATCGATTCGCTTGGCTTACTCGTATGCTTTAACAAACTTAAAACGAGATTTGCCCATACTGGGTCTTTTGAAAGGGATATATAATTGATGTCTGCCCTGGGATTACCACATAATGACCTCCTGGCCAAATCTAATTAGGTACGTAATTGAGCTTAATGTGGAAATTACTTAACAGTAAAACTCCAACAAAACGTCAGTTCCGTTTGTGTTTGTGCTCTATTCTCGCCTACTCGTACTTGCGAAAAAAATTTAAAAATTGCTCGACTTTCGTTAAATGCAAACCATTCAGAACTATTAATGCTTGAGAGTTTTTAAACCATGAATTCTATTAAGGATCAGATGAAAAAATGTCATCGACCATGATAGAAGGAGAAATTGAATAACGGGAAATTTTTACTGCCTTTTAAAGTTTTCTCTCATGAGGAAACCGGTTGGTGGGTCAGTTAAAAACTACAATTGAATTCAAGTTTCGGAGATATTTTAAGACTAATTCAGCAGTAAAGCGTAAGTGTGTTCTCCGCTCGATAGGAACTATCATGATTGTAGTAATCAATTCAATGCAAGTTGCAGAAAACGAGGAAGGGTGACCCTGATCATCGATCTTCTCGAGCTTATCACATCGCTCTTCTTCAATCCTTTAGGAAAACGGTTTTATTTTACAGTCTGCCTGAAACGCTACACTATTCAGTATGACATTATTCTTCAAGTGAGTAAAGTCTTTGAGTCGAAAAAAGTTATCACATGACTTGATCAGCTGATGAGTTCAAGTGAAATTGCTTTTAGTTATTAGTTACCATTTTTAGTTACAATTTCTATTTATCTTTTATTTCCATTTATTAGTAATACTTCCCTGAGAATAAGACATCTGTTATACTGTACTCTCGCATCACGTGTTGTATGTTTGTCAGGTTGCCCCCAAATCCCGTGGAGAAAGCTGCGCGAAATCTGAACGATCTGAAGCTTTCCACTGGTGCTGTGTTTATGATACTGTAAGAGGGTGCTCTTAACCTAAATGGTGTAAAACTTGATTTTTCGCTGAGGCCATTCACATGAACAGTGACAGTTCTATTTTCATGACAATTTTAAGGTCCCAACCGTGGATCACCGGCCTGAAATTCACCTGACAAGCATCAGCTCTATTTGATTTGCTTTGGTGTAAAGGAGATTTCAATCTTAATAGTATAAGGTACCTTTTCTTCGGAACCTGTAAGCACTTGCCGGAGGTCTTTTCCCGGGATAGTACCCTCTTGTTGCATCTATTAGCAAAGTTACTTCGCAAAGTAACAAAACTGACATCGCAATGTGAAGGAAGGAAATCTTCGTTGGCAGCCCCATATTTCACACGCCTTACTGTAAATGTAGTTACGCTGTGTTCTGACCCGTTTATTAAACAAGACAAGTTCGTTTAGCCCTCTTATAAGTGGCTGAAAAGAAAATGAGTGGCATGAGGTCATAATGTAATATCATATCTTGGGACGTGGGTGTATTATGCGATGCGATTACTCCGTCTGAAAGCACGTTCTCTTTTGCCATACATCGGTTGAGACATCAACAAGGCTCTCCGTTTTTACCATTTCAACAGGACAAACTGATGTTACAATGAAGCCTAGGTTTTTTATTTCAGTTCTGATATTAAACACGGTTTTTATTGTCATCCGTTGAGTTGTTTGTCAAAACATATCGTGATAGTTTTTTTATTTACTCTGCCATTGATTTGTGTCCGCTTAACTGCCACGCTAAAAATAATATCGCATGTTTACGGCACGGGCGTAAATTCGTGACTTCCGAATTAGTTTGCGCTGCTCTTCCTACGGATCTTAGATCTCTCTTGCCACAAACACGCAGGGCACCCTAACTATTTTAAGCAAGCTTTGTGCCAGGGGTGTACTCCTAGGAATTCATGGTAGGGGGTATGCCACCCTGTTCTCCAAATACTAACCCTACATGCCATTTTTCACAAACCGTTTTCAGAGACCGGGCTGGCTCAAAAATCCATATCCCTCCGTTTTCAGAGCTGTACTCTGTTTGCTCACAACCAGTTTATTAAGGTTGCAGACCCATTTACCTTGTCCAGGTTTAGTGAACATATAGTACCAATAATGAATCAGCCCTTTGCCGTAGTGCCAGCCCAGCATTCAGTTTTGTTTTATAAGAATACAGCTTGCACAGTGGATTAACCCCTGGGTATTTTTTCTACCGACGCGAACTTAAAAACGATACTGTATACTTACAGTGGTAGAAAATTATTTAGGTTGAATGGCATCCCACACATGTTTTATTCTCGTTTGCACAGGTCCGCCACCAAAACCAAATCTTGATACGGTCATCCGAGAAGAGGTGCTGAAGCAGGATTATCCGTTCTTGTTATAGGGAAATCGAAATTAACGGAATTACTTACCCTTGAAAGAGAACTGAGGAATTTTCAATCATGTAACAACATTTCAGTGTATTAGAAAATTCCTCCAAAAGTCGTAAAACTCAACATTTAGCTCAGTCACAGTATCGCGAAGAAAGATCCGAGAAGCGCATTCCTTCCCACATCCCACTTGGACTTTTTTCTTATCTCCAAAAATTAAGGTGGAATTCATCAGGAAATTGGGTAATTTTAATTTTCAGTGGACCGAAAAACCTTGCACCAGAATATTCTAATTACACCATATCGCATTCTTTTTTACACTTTTCAAGGGCTATAAAAATACTGAAATAACTCCAAAGAAAAGGTTCTTATGGGAGCCCGCGAAAATAAATGTCAAATTTCACAGGAATTGAGAAAACACACACTCAGGTGAAATCGTGATTTGTATGTTTTCTTGGGCTACGATGAAAACCTTTTCTTTGGAGTTATTTCATAAAACTTAAAACACTTATAACCCTCGAAAAGTGTAAAAAAGAAGGCGCAATATGATTGAAATTATTCTGGTACAAAGTTTTTGTCCCCTGAAAATTAAAATTACTTACTTCGTACTCCCCTCTATTTTAACTTCTCTTAGTAAAGACTCATCAGCGTGTCCGTAACGTTAAATTTATCTTTCATTCGAAGTTTGCCTGTTTGGGGGAACATTTTCTTTGGACCTGTATGTGCAACTAGCTTTAATTAAAGCTCTGGTACACGGGATTGCTTGTTAGCAGTGTTCGTGTAATTTAC